TCTGGTGCATGGTCAATAAACACTAAACATACTGGTTTACGTGACTACATGTATTATTAACTCAATTTATATTTCATAGTTTTTTTTCAGTTGTATTTCTTTTTTTATTATTTTCGTGTGTATTGTCTATTGCAATTGTGTGATATAAAAAAATCAATGTACTGACTATGCCTATAATGGGCCCTCTATTGGAAATAAAATTTATCTTATCTTATCTTATACAAGTCTAAATTGAAAACAACGTTCAAACCTATGATTGCGTTGGATAAAAACCGCAATTTTTATACGTGTGCATGAAAACAAATTTCTTGGTAGAGGGGTCTAAATACAGCACAAACAATATTTTCCAAAAGACCAAAATAGTGAAAAAGTATATTTTAACAAAACGCATTTGACTAGATGTTCTTAATCCCTGCTGAATGACATGGCGATTGCCAAATAAACGGATCACCAGATGTAACAAAATATATCTTAATTATACACACCACTGTGTAATACGATCGTGTTTCGTAGCGAGTACAAACAAACTTAATATTTCCGACAATGTACATTTATTTTATCCTGTAATTTACACCCGACCATATGGCAAACTTTGGGTACTTTACTAATTTGCATAGCGGCCATATTGCCCGGTCTCACTAATTAGCGACAAAAAGCGACAAGAAGAATAAATTTAACGACAAGAAGACTATTTAGCGACAAGAAAGCTTGATAAAAATATTATTCAAATAAATATATTAAAAAAATATGCATTGACACTTTTATTTTAATAAAAGGAAACTAAAGTGATTTTCATTTTTTTTAAATATATTGATAGATATTGATAAATATAGAAATTTCCCTGTCATAGTATGATATAAATTTTTACATGTTCTTGTGTTTGAGAACAATAATACATTTATTTATAAATATTTTAACACTCTCTTTGTCTAAAATATAATAAACTGACTGCATGCAAAATGCATTATACGTGAATCAGTGTCCAGAAAAGATAATGTTACTAAATCGTGAATATTTTATTTGAGTATTGACTTATCAAACGCTATGTATGATGTTTATGCATAGTTTAAAGTTGATTGAAGATTAAAGGTAATTTAAGACAATGTTGAGTGTTCAACAGTTGCTCACTATTTACAATTATTGTATATTCTGGCGCGTGTAATTGTATAGTCTGGCGCTTGTACAAAGTTATAGGTGTTAATTGAATGTTATTGTAGCAATACAATAAGGGACACACGTCCTTTACTCCAACCATGATTCTAATTTGTTCATCCTTAAGCGTCATTATGCTTCTATGAAAAGAAGTAATTCTTGCAAGAAAATAATTAGCTGGTTCGAAAAAAATGCCTGGTCATTCTCTTGAAACCATGAATAAAGCAATAGTAGAATACATAGGTACCTATCCTATTAAACAAACAGGTATTGCTGATGATATATGCAAGCTGTCATCAATATTAATTCTTTGAAAGAAATTGTTCAGATCACAGGCAAACCTCCAAATGTTATCTTGACTCATTAATTTCTTATTCTATCAATATAATAAAAAAAATGAAAATCTCTTTATTGCTGTCAATGCATATTTTTTTAATATATTTATTCTAATAATATTTTTTTAAAGTTTTCTTGTCGCTAAATAGTCTTCTTGTCGCTTCTTGTCGCTAAATTTATTCTTCTTGACGCTTCTTTTCGCTCCTTGACGCTTCTTGTCGCTAATTAGTGAGACCCATATTGCCTTATCATGACGACAGCCATTAATATAGGATTATACAGGCTCCTAAAATATAAAAATGCAAATATGCCAATTCCGATGTCGAATTAACTATTTGTCCGCATATAGGTGAATTGTACATGTGTTTGCCTTCTGTCCGTGTACAAATGAACATTGTCTACTTTGAAAACGTTCGGCCTTTTGAGTTTGAAAATCGGAAGCGTAACCGTAGTATAATTGCTATATAAAATAACGCAAAATTGTAAAAAAAAGCAAGATTCAAAATAGAAATAAAGATACAAGAAGAAATTATTCATGAATTGTCCGCACATAGTCCAAACTGCAAATTCTAGCTTTTTTTACCTATAGATTAATTTAATCCTTAAATTTGACAACAATACACCAAACTACATAACGACCTGGGATTCAGTAAGATCAATATATAACTGAGATAGCTGTATAGTTTTATGAAAATCCAAGTTGATTTGAAAAAGTTATAGAAATAATTAAAGATGACTATCTGAATTTCATCAATTTTTTTTTTACCTATTAATTAAATTCTTCATTATCTAACAATGTTTATCTCAAACTACATTATATTTTCAATGTGTCATACTAATATAGCCAGACATAAGCATTATTGTTAATTTCTGCATTGAATTGTGTTGGTTATATGAAGTTCATGGAAATTTCAAAATCGAAAATTTTAAATTACTGACAGTATGTTTAGGACTTTGTGTCATGCAGGGTGCACTTTAAGTATAATAAAGAAGAAGGAAATCCGTTATCTATATGGATATCTTAGTGCAATACATGCACGCATTTAAAGATTTCAATCAAAATGTCCATTTGTTCAGTAATATATGCAATATTGAAGTAATCTGAAGTTAAAAGTCATATAAAAAATCAATGCAATACACGGATATAAATGATTGTATTTACATTGATAACTGTTTCCTTACTTGAAGGTTATAGAAATACGCACTTGTACAGATGACACTATATGTGCAGTTATATAAATTAGCGATGTTTGTGGTTGTCAACCATACACTGTATTAAACATTAAGTACCATGTACTACACACTTACATGAACCATTAGATTTCAATCTATCTTTATTATTTCAAAAACGCTCCTTACTTAAATTTGAATAATGAAAATGTTTAAAATCATTCAATCTAAATTATGAAATAGTTCTGTTCCGCATCATAAGCAACGCTAAACTATCATGCATTTTCTAATCAAGACCTTCAGATTAATTTTCATGTTCTTAGACGTATTTACACTGGTATGCAAAACTTAAAGTCACAATAGTTCCCGCAAAATTTTGCATCACCGTATAAATCATTTGACCTTTAATTTAAAAAGTTATTGTAACATGACGTCAGACGGTTATTTAAAGCTAGATCTTTCGTCATTAGGAGAAAATTCAGCTAAATACTCTAAAGAGTAAATACGTCTATTTAATTCGAATAAATCGCACATATATGTGCAGAAATGGAGACAACATAACTAAAATGTTACTGTTCAAAAATATCATATATCAATCTTGAGCTTTCTAACCTAAACAGACATAACGTGTACAAACATTGGTAGCGTTAATGCTATTTTATATTTTTATTATATGAGCAAATATCAATGCAATGACCTTGTAACAAGTTCTTATGCAATTCTCTCGATAAATGATGAAAGTATTTAAGACAATATGCATTGTATCAATATTTTAAATAGTATGATAGTTAATTTTTTAAAGAATATAATTTTACTTGTGGTTTCGAAATAACTTTAACTCGAAGCTTAACAAACTATTGTTTTCGTAACCTTTTTCGGTTCAAGATCTAGAGTTATATTACTATAGTTCTCGCTTTACCATGTTTCCCAATTTACCAACTTCGATTACATTGCAGCTTTACAAATTAAAAAACGCGAGGCGAAAGGATAATCGAACTAGAAAGTCAAAAAAATCTTACACAGTATACAAAACATAACATACAAGGTATATATTCTGCCTTTAATAAAGGACAATATTATTAGTTACATAATGTGCTAGTGATGGAATTTAATGACCCAATATATATCGTATTAGGTCACTAGCAAACAGAGATCAGTAACTGCGACAGTAAATGTTATATCAAAGACAACAACATACATACACTACGATTCCGTTTGCATATTTCTGACTTAATATACATACATATAATATATTATATATAACGCTTGGCCATAATATATAATTCTGCAACAATCTGTAAGTTTACATAACTTTACAAAATCGACAGACTCAATGAAACTCATTCAAAAGATAAAAAGAAAATGTCATTTAAATCAAGTGCACATTAAATAAAAATCGTTGATGCAACTGTTTACACATAAATACAGAACACTGTTATTTGTCTAAAAGGCGGACCAAGGGTCGTGTCTGGTGTCCAAAATGTGAATAGGCCTTCTAAAACTACCTTTGAAGTCAACTTGACTTGTGCGATTAAAAAGTAATATATAATTTGATGTATCTATCTCATAAATGAAATGATTTATTAACACAGAGATTATACTTTAGTGAAACTCAAGAATTTAAATATATATATATACAATATATGTTCATTGTTGGACAATGTAAAATTTATTTGTATGAGCTTTAGAAATAAGACGAAAAGCGAGGCTCGCCGAGCTTTGCTCCTGTTTCGTAGCGAGTACAAACATCCTGGTCTAGTGTAGTGTTGTCTCAATAGCAATCATACCACTTCTCCTTTCTTTTATAATGTATGTCTGGTGTCATGTTGGAATATGCATATACCCTTAATGGCTCTTATGGCACTTTTAATATGTGTTTTGTTTTAATCTCTTTTTTTTAAAACCTGTTGTTGTCCTATGACATATACATGTACAATGGCTCATTGTTGAAGGCTTACGATGACCTGTATTAGTTGCTATATTCTAAGTCGATTTGGTCTATGGTGGATAGTTGTCTCTTTCGCATTCATACAACATCTCCTTATTTGGTTTTAACAACTTATATTAAACACCTGCAGAGTGTGCTTGCTGTTTCTGCAAAAATTCTATGTCAAGTGTAAAGCCAGCTAGTTTAAATGATGACAGGCTAAAGTAATCTGAACAGATATATGTAAATCAAAGAGAAACCACTTCCAAACTGATATATAATGCCCATTAATAACCTACACTGTATATAAATCTGCTTCCGAGGCCCCTTCACATTTATCAATGACATAACATGCAATGCCAACAAGGACCTTTCTTACTTAATAAACTTAATGTGAACCAACTACCTATACAACACTGCCACCTATGACCCTACTTACTGAATAAACAAGATGTCCACCAACTACCTATACAACTCTACCACCTATGACCCTTCTTACTGAATAAACAAGATGTCCACCAACTACCTATACAACACTGCCACCTATGACCCTTCTTACTGAATAAACAAGATGTCCACCAACTACCTATACCATTATGCTACCGAGGACACTTCCTTCTGAATAAACTAGATGTTCGCCAACTACCTACACTATACTGCTACCTAGGACACTTCATACTGAATAAACTAGATGTTCACCAACTACCTACACTACACTGCTACCGAGGACACTTCCTACTGAATTAACCAGATGTTCACCAACTACCTACACTATACTACTACCGAGGACACTTCCTACTGAATAAACTAGATGTTCACCAACTACATATACCATTATGCTACCGAGGATACTTCCTTCTGATTGAAGTAGATGTCCACCAAATACCTACACTACACTGCTACCGAGGACACTTCCTACTGAATAAACTAGATGTCCACCAACTACCTATACAACACTGCCACCTATGACCCTTCTTACTGAATAAACAAGATGTCCACCAACTACCTATACAACACTGCCACCTATGACCCTTCTTACTGAATAAACAAGATGTCCACCAACTACCTATACAACACTACCACCTATGACCCTTCTTACTGAATAAACAAGATGTCCACCAACTACCTATACAACACTACCACCTATGACACTTCTTACTGAATAAACAAGATGTCCACCAACTACCTATACCATTATGCTACCGAGGACACTTCCTTCTGAATAAACTAGATGTTCACCAACTACCTACACTATACTGCTACCGAGGACACTTCATACTGAATAAACTAGATGTTCACCAACTACCTACACTATACTACTACCGAGGACACTTCCTACTGAATAAACTAGATGTTCACCAACTACATATACCATTATGCTACCGAGGATACTTCCTTCTGATTGAAATAGATGTCCACCAAATACCTACACTACACTGCTACCGATGACACTTCCTACTGAATAAACTAGATGTCCATCAACTACCTATACAATAATGCTACCGAGCACATTTCCTTCTAGATTATAAACTAGATGTCCACCAACTACCGATACAATAATGCTACCGAGGATTCTTTCTACTTAATAAACTAGATGTCCACCAACTACCTATACAAAAATGTTACAAGGACACTTTCTACTGAATAAACTAGACGTCCTTCAACTTCTTATACAATAATGCTACGTTGACACATCCTACAGAATGAACTAGATGTCCAACTTTCTATACTTTAATGCTGCCGAAGACACTTCCCACTGAATAAACTAGATGTTCGCCAACTACCTACACTATACTGCTACCTAGGACACTTCATACTGAATAAACTAGATGTTCACCAACTACCTACACTACACTGCTACCGAGGACACTTCCTACTGAATTAACCAGATGTTCACCAACTACCTACACTATACTACTACCGAGGACACTTCCTACTGAATAAACTAGATGTTCACCAACTACATATACCATTATGCTACCGAGGATACTTCCTTCTGATTGAAGTAGATGTCCACCAAATACCTACACTACACTGCTACCGAGGACACTTCCTACTGAATAAACTAGATGTCCACCAACTACCTATACAACACTGCCACCTATGACCCTTCTTACTGAATAAACAAGATGTCCACCAACTACCTATACAACACTACCACCTATGACCCTTCTTACTGAATAAACAAGATGTCCACCAACTACCTATACAACACTACCACCTATGACCCTTCTTATTGAATAAACAAGATGTCCACCAACTACCTATACCATTATGCTACCGAGGACACTTCCTTCTGAATAAACTAGATGTTCACCAACTACCTACACTATACTGCTACCGAGGACACTTCATACTGAATAAACTAGATGTTCACCAACTACCTACACTATACTACTACCGAGGACACTTCCTACTGAATAAACTAGATGTTCACCAACTACATATACCATTATGCTACCGAGGATACTTCCTTCTGATTGAAATAGATGTCCACCAAATACCTACACTACACTGCTACCGATGACACTTCCTACTGAATAAACTAGATGTCCATCAACTACCTATACAATAATGCTACCGAGCACATTTCCTTCTAGATTATAAACTAGATGTCCACCAACTACCGATACAATAATGCTACCGAGGATTCTTTCTACTTAATAAACTAGATGTCCACCAACTACCTATACAAAAATGTTACAAGGACACTTTCTACTGAATAAACTAGACGTCCTTCAACTTCTTATACAATAATGCTACGTTGACACATCCTACAGAATGAACTAGATGTCCAACTTTCTATACTTTAATGCTGCCGAAGACACTTCCCACTGAATAAACATGATGTCCATTAACTACATACACAATACTGCTACTGAGGACATTTCCTACTGAATGAACTAGATGTCAACCAACCACCTATCCTTTATTGCTACGGATGAGCCTTTCTACTGAATAAACAAGATGTTCACCAACAACCTTTATTATTTTGCTACGGCCTAGCTAAGTACACTTCCTACTGAATAAACTAAATATCCACCAACTACATATACAATAATGTTAAAGCGGACACTTCCTACTAAATAAACTAGATGTCCACCAACTACCTACATGAACTATACAAAAATGCTACGAGGACACTTCCTACTGAATAAACAAGATGTCCACCAACTACCTGTACAATACTGCCACTGAGGATCCTTCTTCCTCAATTAACTAAATGTTCACCAACTACCTGTACAATACTGCCTCTGAGGACCCTTCTTACACAATAACCTAGATGTCCACAAACTATCTGTACAGTACCGCCTCTGAGGACCCTTCTTACACAATAAACTAGATGTCCACAACTACCTGTACAATACTGCCTCTGAGGACTCTTCTTACACAATAAACTAAATGTTCACCAACTACCTGTACAGTACTGCCTCTGAGGACCCTTCTTACACAATAAACAAGATGTCCACCAACTACCTGTACAATACTGCCACTGAGGATCCTTCTTATTCAATAAACTAGATGTCCACAACTACCAGTACAGTACTGCCTCTGAGGACCCTTCTTACACAATAAACTAGATGTCCACCAACTACCTGTAAAATACTGCCACTGAGGAACCTTCTTACTAAAAAATGCAGGAGCTCCACCAAATACCTGCGTAATACTGGCACTGAGGATCATTCTTACTCAATAAACTAGACGTAAACTAGATGTTTATCAACTACTCTTTCCTCAATAAACTAAATGTCCACCAACTACCTGTATATTACTGCCACTGAGGAACCTTCGTACTAAAAAAAAGGAGCTCCACCAAATACCTGCACAATACTACCACTGGGGATCCTCCTTACTTAAAAAAACTAAATGTCCATAAACTACCTGTACAATACTGGCACTGAGGATCCTGCTTACTCAATAAACTAGATGTACACTAGATGTCTACCAACTACTTGCACAATGTTGTATAATAATGCCACTGAGGACCCTTCTTACTCAATAAACAAGATATCTATCAACTAGTTATAAAATAATCCTACTAAGGACCCCTCTTAATAAAAAAACTAGATGTCCACAAACTACCTGTACAATACTGCCACTGAGGATCCTTCTTACTCAAAAAACTAGACGAAACTAGATGTCTATCAACTACTTGTATGTATGTTGTATAATACTGCCACTGGGGACCCTTCTTCCTCAATAAACTAATTAATGTCCACCAAATGCCTGTACAATACTGCCACTGAGGATCCTTCTTACTCAAAAAAAACTAGATGTCCACCAACTACCTGTACAATACTGCCACTGAGGACCCTTCTTACACAATAAACTAGATGTCCACCAACTACCTGTACAATACTGCAACTGAGGATCCTTCTTACTAAAAAACTAGACGAAACAAGATGTCTATCAACTACCTGTACAATACTGCCACTGAGGATCCTTCTTACTCCAAAAACTAATTGTCCACCAACTACCTGTACAATACTGCAACTGATCACAAGGATCCTTCTTATTAAAAAACTAGACGAAACTAGATGTCTATCAACTACTTGTATGTATGTTGTATAATACTGCCACTGAGGATCTTTCTTACTCAATAAACTAAATGTCCACCAACTACCTGTACAATACTACAACTGAGGATCCTTCTTACTCAAAAAACAAGATGTCCACCAACTACCTGTACAAAACTGCCTCTGAGGACCCTTCTTACACAATAAACTAGATGTCCACCAACTACCTGTAAAATACTGCCACTGAGGAACCTTCTTACTAAAAAATGCAGGAGCTCCACCAAATACCTGCGTAATACTGGCACTGAGGATCATTCTTACTCAATAAACTAGACGTAAACTAGATGTCTATCAACTACTCTTTCCTCAATAAACTAAATGTCCACCAACTACCTGTATATTACTGCCACTGAGGAACCTTCGTACTAAAAAAAAGGAGCTCCACCAAATACCTGCACAATACTACCACTGGGGATCCTCCTTACTTAAAAAAACTAAATGTCCATAAACTACCTGTACAATACTGGCACTGAGGATCCTGCTTACTCAATAAACTAGATGTACACCTGATGTCTACCAACTACTTGCACAATGTTGTATAATAATGCCACTGAGGACCCTTCTTACTCAATAAACAAGATATCTATCAACTAGTTATAAAATAATCCTACTAAGGACCCCTCTTAATAAAAAAACTAGATGTCCACAAACTACCTGTACAATACTGCCACTGAGGATCCTTCTTACTCAAAAAACTAGACGAAACTAGATGTCTATCAACTACTTGTATGTATGTTGTATAATACTGCCACTGGGGACCCTTCTTCCTCAATAAACTAATTAATGTCCACCAAATGCCTGTACAATACTGCCACTGAGGATCCTTCTTACTCAAAAAAAACTAGATGTCCACCAACTACCTGTACAATACTGCCACTGAGGACCCTTCTTACACAATAAACTAGATGTCCACCAACTACCTGTACAATACTGCAACTGAGGATCCTTCTTACTAAAAAACTAGACGAAACAAGATGTCTATCAACTACCTGTACAATACTGCCACTGAGGATCCTTCTTACTCCAAAAACTAATTGTCCACCAACTACCTGTACAATACTGCAACTGATCACAAGGATCCTTCTTATTAAAAAACTAGACGAAACTAGATGTCTATCAACTACTTGTATGTATGTTGTATAATACTGCCACTGAGGATCTTTCTTACTCAATAAACTAAATGTTCATCAACTACCTGTACAATACTACAACTGAGGATCCTTCTTACTCAAAAAACTAAATGTCCACCAACTATCTGTACAATAGTGCCACTGAGGATCCTTCTTACTCAAAAAACAAGATGTCCACCAACTACCTGTACAAAACTGCAACTGAGGATCCTGCTTACTCAATAAACTAGACGAAACTAGATGTCTATCAACTACTTGTATGTATGTTGTATAATACTGCCACTGGGGACCCTTCTTCCTCAATGAACTAATTAATGTCCACCAAATACCTGCACAATACTGCCAATGAGGATCCTTCTTACTCAATAAACTAAATGTCCACCAAATACCTGCACAATACTACCAATGAGGATCCTTCTTACTCAATAAACTAAATGTCCACCAAATACCTGCACAATACTGGCACTGAGGATCCTTCTTACTCAATAAACTAAATGTCCACCAAATACCTGCACAATACTGGCACTGAGGATCCTTCTTACTCAATAAACTAGATGTACACTAGATGTTTATCAACTACTTGTACAATGTTGTATAAAACTGCCACTATGGACCCTTCTTACTCAATAAACAAGATATCCATGATATATATCAACTACCTACATGACCTATAAAATAATCCTACTAGCATGACTAAAGACCCTTCTTTCTCAATAAACAAGATGTCCACAAACTACCTGTACAATACTGCCCCTGAGTACCCTTTCTTTCTCAATTAACTAGATGTTTACATGGTCCACTAATTACCTGTAAAATATTGCAACTGAGGACCTTTCTAACTAAATAAACTGGACATGCTAGATGACTAATAACTTCTAACATGATAAAACATCAATGATTCCTTCCTACATGGACGTAATACAAATGTACCCCATAACTCCTTTCATTCATAGATGTCAACAACTACAACTTTTACCTTTACAACAAAGCAATGAAACACCCCTTGTCAAATACATTAGATCTCCTTCAACAACTTATACAACACAGCCACTAAGACCCCTAAATACTAAATAAACTATCAGACTATGCGAAATGGGCTTTGCTCATTGTTGAAGGCCGTATGGTGACCTATAGTTGTTAATTTCTGTGTCATCTGGTCTCTTGTGGAGAGTTGTCTCATTGGCAATCATACCACATCTTCTTATTTTTATATACAACTTGTACATTCTAGATGTGGCATACACAGCTTTCACCATATATATTTTCCCTACAAAAGTTTTTTTAATACACAGTAAATGACAATATAAATGTACATTACCATTGAATATATTCAAGAAAAAAGATTGTTTTCTTTCAATAGATTTTTATGAAATTGACTCTTTAATTAAACATTAATAGTCATGGTAGTCATGATAGTTGTGAAGTATAAACCTCCCTTCAAGGAGAGATAAAAAGATACCAAAGGGACATAACTTATCCTAATGTGTTAACTGACAGGATAATCATTATCCATAGAAATTCAAGTTGGACATTTTTTTAAAGATAATCCATAGAACAAGTCACAAAATGTTTATCAACATATCACAACTTTCAAATTTTTATGTTTTAACATGTTTAAAGAAATGTTTATGTCCCTTCAACATGTTTAATACATGTAGTATGAGATATTGAATATATCAGAACTTTTTCACATATTATGTGATTTCATATGTTGATCTATAGTACATATTTGTATTTCTTGATAAACTGTTTAGTACATACATGTATTGTACATCAATGTGGCTTTTCCCCAGAATGAGAAAGTTTATGATTTTTTAGGTTTACCCCCTCGTTTAAACATGTTAAAACGTGCACCACAATCACGACTCACAAACAAATGGTTGATCTCATTATTTGATCTGACATGTTTTTGAAGATCACTTTTTTAAATGAAATCTATGTCCAAAAATTTCACAGAAATGACTCTTCGTCTCCTCTCTATATGTTAGTTCATGCCTCATGCCTACATTGTCATGATTGTATATAGAAACAAGTTACCACACTGAACATAGTTGAATTACTCCCTCTACAGCTTCTGTTCATGCCAGTATTTGTGTTTCTTGAAATTACTACTTCTATGGAATCCTTTAATTTGCCACACAAAATAAGGGTCATGAGTGTTTTCAGCTCAATGTGCAAATGCTGTGTGCTTTTCATGTCTGTGTAAAAGAGTTTTAGTAAAGAATGACTTAAATCTAATCCTCAGTGTGTTATTTAACGTGTTGATTTAGATGATGTCTCGTTACAAACCCTTATCCACAAGTGTCACAGACATGAGGACTGAGTTGTGTGTGTGTATGCATAGGTTATGGCTATGGAATGTATAAAAATCTTTTAAGCACCTTCCTCATATATTTCACATATAAATTGGTAGATATATGAATGAGTTCGTAATTGTTCCTTTAAATTACTGACCAGTATCATCATGATCATTAGATTTTTTTCACATTCCTTGGTGCACATTCAAAAGGCTTTTCTTCAAAATGAATTTGTTGATGTTTTATCATGGAATTTTTATAAGAAAACTTCTTTCCACATATGTCACATGTAAAACCTTTATCTTGCCTGTGCATATTTTCATGTATTAGAAGTTGGCTGCGGTATTTAAAAGCTTTGCCACATGGATGACAAAAACTAAAATTCATAAACTTTTGATGTTGAAGTCTTAAATGTTTCTTCAATTCAGGTTTTGATTTAAAGGTTTTATCACAAATATCAAAGTGACATTTATATGGTTTAGTTTCTGAGTGATTTAACAAATGTCTCGAGTAGTGGCATTTAAAAGTAAACTTTATACCACACTTGGCACATCTGTAATGTTTTTTACTGTCGTGTAATTTTAAATGCCGCTCCTTGTTAGAATGAGAAACCTTTTTTCCACAAATATGACATGAAAATGATGACAATCTAGAATGAACATTCTCATGCCTTCTGAGGGCATCATAGGTATTAAAGCTTTCCCCACACTCAGAGCAATCGAATATTTCTTTTTGAGGGTTTCGAATATGTTGCCTTAATTCACGAGCGTTTTTAAAACTTGTCTGACATGAATCACACTTAAAGGGTTTACAATCGGTGTGAATCACTTCATGTTTCTGTAGTTGATGTTTTCGTTTAAATCCTTTACCACATATCTTGCATTTATGTTGTCTTTTTTCCTTGTGCAATTCAATGTGTCTGATCATTGACGATTCAATTGTAAATTCCTTTTTACAAAGAAAACAGTTGTAAACTTTTCCAATTATTTGATCCTTGTTCTCATCGGATTTTATCAAATCTACACATGGTTGTTTAGGAAGATAAGAAACGAAGCCTTCACTTTCTTTGTGTAATTTAATATGACTTCTTAATGAAGATTTTGAAAAAGAGTCTTTTTTGCAAAATTTGCATTTGTATGAAATCATGTTTGTGTTTTCATTCTCTTCACTCAGTGACTCCTGACAACAGACTGGGTGATCATGACTGGATGAAACCACAGAAACAGGCTTTTCAGCTTCACTTTTGTTTAGCTTTTTAATGTTTTCTAATTCCGATTTGTAGGAATCCATATATGCATTATTCTCCATACCTTGCCTTTCCTTGAATGCTTGATCTTCTGGGGAAGTAGTATTTGAATGTTTACCACCATACAACATATACAACATTGGTAAGTTTTTATCCACTGAAACGACTGGAGACTTAAAAGAAAATTCCTTTTCACCGAATTTATATTTATAACACTTCATCTTAGTTTGCTTGTTTACCTCTTCTGTGTCATTGGAGGAAATTAACTTAGATATGTTGTCATAGTTGAATGTTTTACCGTTATTTTCTGACTTATTTTCTATCTCAGAATTAACAAGCAAATCCATATTTAATTCTCTATCTTTTATGTTAAAACTTTCATTTATGTTAACATGTGCATTATTCTCTACACCTTGCTTTTCCTTTGACTCTTGATTTTCTGGGGAGGTATTATTTAAATGTATACCACCATACAACATTGTTAAGCTTTTATCCACTGAAATGATTGGAGACTTAAAAGAAAATTCCTTTTTACCGAATTTATATTTATAACACTTCATCCTGGTCTGTTTGTTTTTCTCTTCTGTGTCATTGGAGGAACTTAACTTAGATATTTTGTCCCAGTTGAATGCTTCACCATTATTTTCTGACCTATTTATCATGGTCTGGTTATCTTTCACAGCATTAACAGGCAAATCTGTATTAAATTCTGTCTCCTTCATGTAGAAACTCTCATTTGCTGTAACATGTACAAAGTCAACCAAATCATCATTTTCTATTTTCATATTCACATGGGCACTATGGTTAGTATTGTTTTGATTGTTAAAATCACTCAACATTAACATATTACATTCAGTCTCAGAGCTGTCAGTCTCTCTATTAACTTCAAATGAACCTAACTTGGAATCTTCCATTTCAACCTCTTTTTCAATATAACACATCTCAATTTCTCTTTTACCTTCGAACAAATACAACTTGGAATCTTCCATATCAATGTCTTTACACACCCTTGGTCTTTGTTTCCTTGGACTGTCAATTAAACATTGTTAAAGTAATAGTCATCCTTCACTTAAAAATTTTCTAGATCCAATCCACTAATAATAATCAGCTGAAATTAAGAAATTAATGCAAATAATCAAAAAAGTATTAGGTAAGTACAAAATGTATAAAGAATACAAGAGGCTCACTCGAGTCTGTAGGACTGAACTGGTAAAAAAGTGCCAGTCTGCTAATGAGGACCTTTAATTGCACAGACTAGTTGTGTTTTGTCTTCCTGATAATTTTTGCATTTTACACTTTTGCATGTTATGTAACCTAGCTCCTACAGTTTTTAAGATACATGTAACAGCCAAAAACTTTACAAAATGAACCAGTAAAAATTGACATTTAAGGTGCAATAACTCGCCCAAAACAGGTTGACAGATTTTTCTAAAATTTTCAAGATAGATACAGCATCTTGTGCTAAGCATTTTTATATGGTTAGAAACTGTTTTAAACTCAACACATGCCCATGTGCTGTCTCAAGTCTAGTTCTGATAATCATGTTGTTTGGGGAGCTATTCCCTTTTATTTTACTTTTATAAATTTCTGATTGTTGCAGGAAGGTGTCAAAGCAAAATAATTAAATAGCCTTTCAAGGAGTCAAAGCGAAGTTAGAATAGCCCGTCAAGGCATCATAATTATCTAAATTATCCCAAGTCAAGAAACTCATCCGTCTATTCTTATTTTTAGTAATTTAGTTGTATTTTAATCATGTAAATGTCTTGTCTTAGAAGTTTTGATGTTGTTGGTAAATCTGTTAAAAAATATTGTATTTACATCAGTATATAAAATCAAATACTGATACCATGGATACCATTTAATAATAAAGATGTATGTTTAGTTATAATGAGGGTTGAATAACTTTGCCGGTAAAAAAACCCTGGGTGAATAAACCAAGAGCAAATGTTTTTTGTGCATCAGGGAACATATATCATTAAAAACCATAGTAAATTACATTTTTTTAAAACAGTAGTTACTAGTATGCAATGTATCAGATATACATCCGGGCCACTTGTGCTTAAAAACACCATGGATATTTTGAGAAAGGCAGGTACAGATATATTTATTTCAGGACTAAAACAACTTTTTTTCAGTTCAATAGACCACTTTCGAGTTATGTCCTTCACCGGAAAAGTTCATCAATTATGCACGCCTTTATGACGTCACTTACCAGATAGAGGGGATCGCCTGTATCCCAGCAGTACTAAAGTTCATCAAGCGTCTTCGTGATCGTCATTATAAAGGATAAACTAGAAATAATGTTTGTTCCGTAGTTACTTAATCACAATTCCCTTTTGATAGCAGTGCTGATTATAAATTATAAGAATTTGATTTGCCGAATAATTTGTGCAATACAGCATTATATTTCGTCAACCGCTCGCTCAACGTGGGAAGGAAATGACGATGTCCCTAAACGCACGAATGATGTTCACTAAAACCAAATTTTTTGACGAAAATGCAACGAACTCGAAAGTGGTCTATTGTCCTTGAATTTGTCTTATTGTGGCTGTTCTACAGGCAAATTAATAGTTTAATAAAAGTGCTCAGTTAATATGCTTTCATTATGCTTGGGCCATATAAAAGAATTTATTTGTTTGCCCTAACCCTACCTACCCAGAAAATATCTGCCTACTCAAAATCTTTTATTGTGCTGATATGAAAAACATAAAGACTTTAAAACATCTGACGCTTCAATTTCTCTTTGGCGAAAAAAGATAAAGAAAATGCCTACCTACCTACCCTCTGTCTCTACCTTTGGGTAGGGTTTGGGCAAACCAAAATATTTTTAAGTGTGGCCTTGTGTAACCCCTCTTCTTAATGCAAGTTTTATATTACTTTTTCAGATATAAGTATTTAACAAATCCACTTTGTTGGAACGTGCATCTTCTTCTTCTCTGGATCTTTACACCCTTTATAGGGTACCCATACTTTCGTATGTCGAGCAGTTCCACCACCAAAAAATAATGAAAATTAACAATCATAACACCACAACATTAAATACACTCTTTACATTAGGAACTTTTAAAGTTGTTATGACTTTTTACATGGGAAGTTTACAGTATTATGACTTTTACATGGGAAGTTTACAGTATTATGACTTTTTACATGGGAAGTTTACAGTATTATGACTTTTTACATGGGAAGTTTACAGTATTATGACTTTTTACATGGGAAGTTTAGAATTTTTATGATTTTTTTACCTCGGGCAGTTTAGATTATTTTGGTCTGCTGATACTAAATGTAATAAAATTTACAGATTAAATCATATATTTACTTTTTAGATAAGCATCATTGTTATGCTTTTTGAGTTATTATACAGAAGTTAGAAAAAACTAAAATACACTCGGAGATAGGATGATCTTCTTTTAATATTTTGCTATCGTGTCGCTGTATTAAAGCTCACCTCGTCTATCATTTAATAGGTAGCTTTGTCTGTGTAATAGTTGAAGCAAATTCACTATGACTATTTCTTTAAATCGTCCTAATTTTTGACACTATGGTTGGAAAATAAGACGCCTTTCTATTGGGCGAAATTTAAGATATTCTAAAGCTACCATCGGTAGCGGAACCTTAGAACTAGCGGAAACAAACGAGCGTTAGTGTGAGGGTCTGGAATGGGGGGGGGGGTCTTTATTTCTTTATTTATTTTAGACCATTATTCTCTATTCTTAATAAAGATAAAGATAAAGATATTTTGTTTTCCAAATTAGGTCCCAAGTGGGGCATACACATACATGAGGGGCCTGATGGGGGGGTCTCATCACGATTCACGAGTTGATTTTTTTGTCAATCACGATTCACAGAAAATAAATTTCCATGATCACGGATCACGAAAATAAAAAAAAAAATCTGTAGAAAAACGGATCACGATAGCGAAAATGCGCCGATCACGAAGAACGAAAATAACCCATCAGGCCCCTCATACATGTATAACAAATATAATATTTACAACAAACAGTATTGTGCATAACCGTGATTCATATAATACACCTAAAATATTGATATTAAAGGGTTGCTACTCCAGAGATGTGGCAAATGTCCACTCAATTGATTTTATTTGCAGTTATTTTCATTTTATTTTATTTTTACTTTATTTTTTTTCTTCTATTTTCTGTATTTGCTAATGTATATATCTTTGATTGTTTAGCTGCAACAGATACCAAGGGACGATGCTCTAGGATTGTGAGCTTAAGAGCTCTAACAAACCTCTTCGTATCTTATGCAGATACAAACAACGAAACAAAAGTTCAAGTTTATTCACAGCAAATAACATATACTGCAGTAATAGGTTTAGAGAATAGTGTAGGTTCCCTACTGCAACAGACACCAAGGGGCGGTGCTCAATGAGCTGTCTTATACACACAGTCCTCCTCGTGTATGAAGCAGACAAGAAAGCCACACCATTAACAATTTTTAGAAATAAATTTACTAGCAGCAGTGAGAATTGTCTGGAGCTGGCAGGTAAGTATCTGCTAATACTTAGTCCTTTGTTAATCTATGTTGAGCATTGTCATTTTGCTTAGTTTCTTCTGTTACCTATTCTAACATCGGACTCGGACTTCTTATGAACTGAGTTTTACTGTGCGTATTGCTATGTGTTTGTTTATTCCACATTGGCTAGAGGTAATAATATAGGGGGAGGGTTGAGATCTCACAAAACATGTTTAACCCCGCCGCATTTTTGCGCCTGTCCCAAGTCAGGAACCTCTGGCCTTTGTTAGTCTTGTATGTTTTTTATTTTTATTTTGGTTCATTTATATGTTTTGGAATTTAGTATGACGTCCATTTTCTTTGAACTAGTAATCAATATTGTTTAGGGCCAGCTGAAACCAGCCTCTGGGTGCGGGATTTTCTCGCTGTGTTGAAGACCCATTGGTGGCCTTGAGCTGTTTTCTGCACTTTGGTCGGGTTGTTGTCTCTTTGACACACTCCCCGTTTCCATTCTCGATTTTATTATCTTCTGTGTTCATAAGTCATATCAGTTTATCCCTTGAGTTAAGATTTAGAAAATTAGGGCAACTTTTAATTATTTCTTGAAATAAATGAATGCGGTCATCATCAAACTTAACACATTGAAATACAAAGTGTTATTATACCTCAGTTTGTTTTTCTGTATAAAAAAGAATGAAATATGTGTGTTATTTCATTCCACAGACTATTTGCCAGTCAATAGTTTCAAGGACTATTACCCCGGTCAATAGTTTTATATTTCCTGTACTTTTTCATACTTATTTTTCATTGGACAATAATGACGTCATTAACTATTCTGCTTGCATTTGTGCGCTTGGCAACGTTAAACTCTGATATCGTAAACGGTATAATCTGTTTGTGTCTTTCGTCGTAATTTCAAATTAATATATCACTTTCAAGAAGCAATAAAAAAGAAAAAGAAAATCTACGCCATATATTTTAAGATCTAAAACATAATAAATGTATAATATTAATCTATATATCGTCGTCTTCATAAACTGTGATTGCTTTAATTTGGTGTACGGTAATATATAATAATACTTTAGCTATTGTTTATTATATGCACGGGAATTTTTACAAAATAAAATATTTACAAATACCATACGGACTATAAAAAAACTTATAGTTCATCTTGTGCAAGTTTATGTGACTTTTTTTTCTTTCAGATAGTGTATGTAGACTTTTTAGAAAGTTGTTTTTTTTTCGGTATAATAAAACACTTAATGACTGGCTATGAGGGTAATAGCAAGTTTGTTGTCCCTTTGATAATTACTATTGCGCTCGGTTTCGCTTCGAGCAATAGTTGGTATTTCAGGGACAACAAACTTGCTATTACCCTCATAATCAGTCAATAGGTGTATACTATTCATCCTCCACATCTCCAGAGTAACAACGACTACCTACAAGTTCTGTCATTTAGGAGAGTATAATTATTTAAGCATCCTATTATTCTCTATTCTTTATTATTTTGCCAATTTTTCTCTATTCAAAGGCCTTTTATTCTGCACTTGTTGCCCAATATTCTCTTTTCTGTAAACCCCATCGATCCAGACCCTCGATCTAGTTTGCTTGCTGAGCGAAGAGTCAATCCATTTCATCTAATTATATCTTTAATAGATTAGTTATTTTATATGTTACTTCCTTAACTATACAGTTGAATATGATAATCTAAACGTTAATGCCAAGGAAAACTGAGCAAGTTTCACGTCCATTTCTGTTCTCTCTCCTCAGAGTCTCCTCAATCTTGAATGATTGACTTTTGGTTGCTTAACGTCCAGTGCCATATTTAAGGAATTGTTTTGGTTGAACTTCTTTTGGAATACATGTAATCCCTCCCTGCCTCTTAATAACCGACATTTGACCCTTCCCATATCCCAAATGTATCGATCTTTGAACAAATGTACTAACATCTATCCAAACGAATTTTGTGGTGAAACCATTAGAACTTGTTATTTTTATTCTTTATTTCTGTTTCACGCAAAAGTTTCTCAGAAAACAAGTTTTGTCTGACTTTAGATTTTATTTTGATTTTCAACTTTATTTCCGTCTTCTCTTACTATAACTCAATTTCAGTTGGTAAACACTATTTGAATAATACATGTCGACAAAATAAAAGCACGGGAATAGAAAATCATCAAAACACTAGAAAGACTTGTCACTTGGCCTCTGGTGGAAAGTTGTCTCATTGGCTATCCTATCAGATATTCTTATTTTTAGAACGTAGATGTCATTTGTCCATCGTCGAATGCATTCCATAATGTATGGTAACATGTACCTGAACTGATGTCTTTTTTCACTCATGTTGGTTGGTTACTGTTTCAATAGCGTTTACTACAACTCTCCATTTGGAAATTTTTTATCTAACTATTTTGAAAATTTTATTCTTGATTTTCAAAATAAAAAAAATCCATCAATATAGATTACAAACAGGAAGATGTTTTTATTATTGTCAACAAGACCACTGGCCTTTGATCAAAGGAAAAAAGTTAACCATTACAGGTAAACGTACAGGCTTTCAACAATGGGCAAAACCCATACTGAATAGTAATTAGCTATAATTTAAAGGGTCAAGCACGACAAAAACATGTAACGGCCTGATGCATGCCAAAACAATGAACGGAAAACAGTATGAAAGACAGTAACCAACGAAAACCTACTGGTGTACACTCTCATCAGGATCCTGACATGAAAAATGCACGTACACGGAAAGTGACGGGGTTATACTTAACTCTTTGCAATTATCACCTTCATCCAGGACAGTGGTATATAACAACGGACTGTAAATTCAGTCGGAAAGGGCTTACATCAGATCGGCACAAAACAAAAAACAAAACAAAAGGACAAAATTACCGACGTAATAGTACTCGCAATTACTGAAAACGTTCAATTCAACTAATACAAAAACATGTTCTCCCAGGCTAAACCATTTTGAAATTTTGAATTGTTAAACCTTACACGAGTCATATAAATGATTAAAACTTTTCTAATAGGAGAATCCGTGGGCTGAAAGTTTCATTATCACATAGTACATTGCAACACGAGTATAGTTCTCTTGCACGTAAACTGATATGGGATATAAATGATTGAAGGTATGTATCAAACTTTTAAATGTCTACAATTAGACTGGTTTTAATGTTTGATTTTATCAATCACGTGGACTTACATTCTACATTATATTCCAGTACGTCATTTGACAAAGACAAAATATAAGCAAAGTCACAGCGAACGCTCAAATATATAATTGTCCCTATTAAATTACATGCCATTGGGAAAAAAAACTTCAGTAATAGAATACCAGCAGTAAATTATCATTTAAAAAAAAATGTTCGACTGTCTTTATTTATAAATAATACTCTTCTTATTTGAAAGATCAAAAGTATAAAAAAAATCTCATTAAAAGAATAGGCGACGGAACACAATACTAAATATCAGGAGAAAAAAATGACCTCGTGACTGTAGAGGTCGGTACAGGTGAAATACTATATTGTAATGAAGGTGAGTGTCAGACATAAAAGCTTCATTATCTTAAATGATCCATATTCTGATAGGACATTGCTGGGTAATGACTTTATTGAACCTTAAATAGAAATAATTGACTATATTAAGCTCGGTTTTTATACCCGATTTTATCAATAATGTAGATTTTCATATTTGAATTTGGCAAGGTTAAACTATCATTGATGACTAGCGGGAATTTCATTTTAAAACGAAAATTGATACAAATTGGTTTGGCTATGATCTGGTTAAGGTTAACATACCATATGTCAACTTTGTTATTTGATATCAAACTAAAGAGAAAGATTCAGGCGGTTTCAGTGACCCCTCCCCCGTTACATCGGGGAACGTTTTTTTTGTTTTTTGTTTGTTTGTTTTTTTTTATTGGGAAAGGGGGGGGGGGGGTGACCTCAACTTTGTCACTTGGTTAAAAAACTTCCTTGTAAGCATTAACCCTCGAGCAAGGACATCATATTAGGTAACGCTCACAAAAAGTTCCATTCCGACACATACTTGTGTTG